AATTTTCTGATATTTCTCCATATAAATAATTCATAAACGTAATTTAGTTAACACAATTAAATCGACTTCAAAATCTTTTTGATTTCGAAATTTGACACTTCCATACAACATTCTCAAAATAATCAAAAATGTCTTCAAACAAAATATTTAAGAAAACTAGAATATTCACTTCATTTAAGATCTTAGATTTAAAAATTTTAAAAATAACTTAGTAGAAAACTCATTCTATTTTCGGTAGATAAAAGACAATGTGGTCGAATTTCTGTTCAGGATACGGTAGATGATAGACAATGCGGTAGAATGTGTATTCTAGATATGGTAGATGACATTGCACACGGTGGAAGAAACATTCACCGAAAACGTAGATGATCATTCAGTAGAACACATTTTCTACAACTCGATAGATACTAATGAAATAGCAGTAGAACGTACATTCTGGAAGACGTAGAAGAGAAATATATAATTAGATTTCAGATTTTTTGTGAACTATAAAAATATTTCAATATATGAAAATGCTTATCTTTTACGTTTTTGTAATTATAGTATTTTTAAAAAAAATTAAAAACCATTTATTTTTAACTATTTTTTTTTTTTTNTTTATAGGATAGATAAAAAATGACAAAAAATGAAAAATGTGTATTGGAACAATTTCAATTTCGATGCGGGGCAATTTGGATTTAAGAGGGTCATGAACTCTCTAAATTATCGATATCTCTAAGTTGTTAGTATTAACTATTAACCATTAGTAGACGAGGGCATGCAAATCACGTGGTATGCATCTCCAGGTAGGTGACATATCACAAATACTATGTAGGAATTTTTATTGCTGTTCATTTATTTTAAACCGAATTTCATTTTTTTTTTAGATTGCTTATACTAATTTGGAATCATTGGGCTCTAATACGATAAAATTCATGAATAAAGTCGGCCCATCTTCCAAGCAAGGAAATTTGGTTTGGACCTTCGAATTCTTTTATAAATAATTTATGGACCAATATTGTCTTTAGCTCAAGTTGATAGGTTTTAGTAAACCACCTCAAGTGTGGAGTTTCAGTTACCTGTTCTGGGCTATACTTAGGCATTTCTCTCCACTTCAGTTTAATGTGGTAACAAACATTTAAAAATGTAACATCAATTGATAGTAGAAACGAAACTCTTACAAAATAGATAACATCAAAGCATTTTGGTGGTTCTGTACTTTTAAAACGAGACAATCTATTCATTTGATTCATGAAAATTCTGTTTATGAGTTATTACTACCTTTTTCTAAATTTTTTGTATTTCATATGCAATATAAAACACTATAAGATAACCGATCGGACTTATATATATTATCAAACACTATCAACTTATAATTTTTTTCCATACATATAAAGAAATTAAAAGCATTAATTCCTGTTAATACTGTTTATATTCATTATAACAACCCATGCATATGATATGGAACTTGATATTACACAAACAAACATTAACGTGTGTTCACACATTTATACCATAGAGGAAGTATGAGGTATAGAGCGGTTTAATATCTCTGAAGAGATTTCATCACTACACGTTGCTAATGCCTCCAAATCAGCATCCGTGATTCTCTGAGCAAATTAACAAATTGAAATCAATCTAATGTTAAATTTTATAATCGATACCTAGTTCACATTCTTATATCATATATAGTTAAATAAATCTTAGTTAAACCAAAACGTATATGTGCATGAGAACTGAGAAGGTACAAAAAATAACCTTTTTCTGCTTTGATAAATCTCTAAACCGTGAGAATACTTCGTTTAATTTTTCATCATGGATTTCATATCCCAACTGAGAATAGAAAACAAACACATACAAGTATATTAAATAATGATTCGTCAAATTAATATTGATATATTATTTGATAGTATATCATCATTATATTAAATTAAGGATACCTCTTTTAGCCGACCTTTCACAGCATGACGTCCACTGCGTATTTCCATATTTTGGTTTAAATCAATTAAACAATGGTACGTAAATAAATCAAACAATGGTACGTAAATAAATTTGAATAAGTAAAACCAAGAAAATATCACTTTATTACCTAAGTTTTCCAAGAAGAATGCCGGAATTTTGAGATTTTACAATTCCAACATCTTCTGGTGATAAGATCTCATATGTACTCCGGTTTTTCAATATTCCATCCTGAAAAATGTGTCAACAATTCTCATATTATATGATTAATCCACATCATCGACTTACTTATTTTTCGTATGTCATATAGAAAATGTAATGCTAATATGGAACCTGGTGAATTCCGCTCTCATGAACAAAACAATTATCTCCAACTATAGGCTTATGTGGTTGAACGTACAAACCAGTATATTCTTGAACCTGCTCAAGAAGTTACGTATATTATTATGGTGACCAAAAAGAAAAAAAAATATATTATAAAGGCAAAAAAAGGAAACCAGCATGATCAGTTTTTATTTGTGTATACATAAAAATGTTAAATATTATGTATAGGTTTATGTGGTTGAACATACAAACCGGTATATTCTTGAACCTGCTCAAGAATTTACATCATATTATTATAAAGATTAAAGGCCATGAAAAAAAAACTAGCATGATCATTTTTCCAATATTGTGCATATATATAAAAAATTTTACCATTTTTTTTTGTTGTTGTTAAAGAAAATTGTTACCATTTTGCTAGTAGCCATAATTTGGCGTGTGTCTACTCTTGTGTAAACACCATCCATCAGATATGCTCCTCGACATTTCAAAGCCATCACGACCTACATACCAAAAGAAATATTC